TGAGCACATAATTATCCTCATTTTTTTTTTTTTTTTTTTTGGACAGGTTGGTTGTTGGAGCTAGTTGTATCCTTTGAAAAACTGTAATGATGATTTATGATTTTAAGCAGTATAGTTGTCATTTTATAAAAGCTCCATTTTCTGAATTCCTTTGTTCATACCCAATATTTAAGCTGATAATATACAGTAGTAGTTTTATGTTCAATATCATCATGGGAATTCAGGTCAACTGAGGCTGAATCTGAGGGCCTTAAAAACAGTACTGTCTAGGACGAAAATATTCTAAGCCCATGGATCTTTATTGAATACGGGCTGAAGCTACTGAAGATGCTGTCTTCACAAGGAGAATTTCATTTCTCTAGGAAGAAAGGCTACCTGCGTACTTACTTTTATTACATTTGTATGAAGGTGTTGTTTGTATTTCTTTAACTAATATTTCACCAGATGTTTCACTGGAGTGTGCTGGTTTTCTAACGGGCATTGGATTAGATACCACAGTCATGATAAGAAGCATTCCACTTCGTGGGTTTGATCAGGTGAGTACAAAACATGTTACATTTCCAAATATATAAGAATGTGCGTTTATTTTTCATTCTGAATTGCAATAGTGCTAAGCATTTACAGACCAAAGTTGMAGAAAGAGCAATAAAGTTATGGACTACTTCTTAAGTGCTGCTTTGCACGTTGGCTGTAGGAAAACTATCTTTAAAGTGTAACAACACAGTGTGTGCTTTGTTAATCAATTTAAGATAGGTTCTCCCAAACTCCAGTTTTGAGGAGGGAGTGCTGTTGATAGCAGCAGCAGTGACAAGTACCACTGTGGATAGTGACAGCTTATGGTTGCATTCCAGTCACTATCACTTTGAAGTGGCTTCCTTAAAACTAGTGGTATGTGTCCTGGAGTTTGTGAAACCCTGTACAGGAATGTGTCTTGGGATTTGCTCTCATCTTTAAAGCAGTCCGCACCTGTAACAGCATGAGATCTAAGCAGGCAGGGAACAGGGGGTTAAGAGTGTTTATGGTGCTTCATGAAACACTTAAAGAAGGGCTTTCTCCAAGAACTTGATCTCCAAGAGCTTGCAGGTGGGAAGAGCACATTGGGAAGTTCTAAGCTAAGAGGGAATAGAGATAAAATAATTATATTCAGGYTGTAAGTAAGTCTAGTGGAAAATGAGCAAGCTACTGTGTTTCCGAAGAGAAATAATGCTTTCATATTACTTAATCACAACTTCGAATATAAAGATTTGTAAGCCAGCAGCTTGCGTGTAGTTCTTTTGTATGAGTAGTTTTGTGGTAATAACTTTTAAGTAATAAACATATCTTGTGACAAAGTGCAACCTGAATTACTACTATCAGGAGCAATGACATCTTTGGATAAACCTGTCAATACGGCACTTCACTACTCATCTGCGGTGTGGCATTATTTCAAACAGGCTCTTAGGACAAAAGCATTATTTCCTTTTGTAGTAGTACTTTCAAGGAAATCTTAGTGAATCATACACTTTGCAGTGGAATGACAAGTGTCATGGCAAAGGGAAGTATTTTGTTTTTTCTTAGCATTAGGAAAGTGCTCAATTCCCTTCAAGCTGCCAGAAATTGGTACTTATAGCAATGTTAAATTGAACTTGCTCTCCATGCTATTTTTGCATAAGCTTTAAGTTATGTAAAAGCAACCTTATTATTCATCTGATATTTTTTCTTTTTGGAAAAATGTTCCTGGGATACAGGTAGATCTCTTTTAGCAGGGGTGGAGTTGAAGGTCTCAGATACAGAGTGATTTGTTGAGCTACTGGATATTAGCAGTGTCACAGTAGCTACGTGATAAAACATTTCATCGTATTTAATGGATTTTCATGAAGGCAACTGAAGGAGGGGTTTGCATTAGAAAGACTATATATGTAAGTTTAAACAATTTCTTTTTCCCTCTACTGAACAGCAAATGTCATCTTTAGTAGCTGAGCACATGGAATCTTATGGCACAAAATTTTTAAAGAAATGTATCCCAACCAAAGTGGAAAAACTGGAGAGCAACAAACTAAAAGTCACCTGGAAAAATACTGACTTGGGCACAGAAGAATCAGATTCCTTTGACACGGTGATGTGGGCAGTAGGTAAACTTGATTATTTTCATGTTCTTTTAGCAGTATAAATTATAGAAAGAACTTATAACTGATCACACTTGTCATAACCAAATACGCTTGTGCTTGCTTAGAATAGAAAAAGGTTGTGCTACCTGGAGCTGTGACAATTAAAAAAAAAAAAAAAAAGTAGAAAAATTTTCATGGGATGAGAATGAATTCAAGCTCTTCAAAATTGTGGATTTCTAATTGCAATATCTGATATTCCTCAAACTATCCAGTAAAAATGTTCTCTGATGTGGAGTCACACCTGTGAAATTTCAAGTCTTTTTTTTACTTTTGTCAAAGATGGAAATATGAAGTGTTAAATTGAAATAATACCAAAAAAAAACCTTGTTTGAGTAAAATAAAGTTGAATGATATTCTGTTGCGAGTCTGTTGTATTGTAGTGCTTTGCACTACTTTGACGTGCAGAAGAGCACATTKTAAGTTTTGTCATAGATTGGAGTTATACTCCATATTCAGAACCTCCTGAATGAAAGGTGTGAGTTTTTCTTTTTTTTTCTTTCGCAGTGCTCAAATATGTGCTCCACCTTTGAGAATCAAACACATTAACAGTTGAAGCTGGTTAACTGATGTGCAGTCCACATGATTCATTGTTTTTCTCTGTATCAACACACCCACACCAGGTGTCTCAGATAATAGACTGGGAAACTTGGTAGTGTTGAGGATTTCCTGTCTGCAGATGTGCCAATTACAATGCTGAATGAAGAAAGTCAGCTTGTAGAACTAGTTAGAAAGCAGCCAATCTTGTTAACTAGTTATAACCTGAATTGTAATGAATATTTCCTTGATTTTTCTAAATGCGTCATGGCATTTTGGTGRGATTTTATTAGGATAAATAGGATTTTATGAAGAATGTTAAAATTGTTTACTGACAGTGCAGCAGARTTACATTTAAAGGTTTCAATCCAACCCGTTTGTAGTTAGCTTACTGACTAACCCTTAGTCAGAGGTCTGTGATACCCTGCTGAGTGACTATGTTCTACTGTGTTTCTACATCACTGAAACAGATCTTTCTTGGTATTTGATTTTTGTCTTAGCTGTCCTTTAAGGTACCATGACTTATTAGTGCTGTCTTCTGCTTGGATGGGAAGTATCCCGAATTGATAAACCCTTGGGATTTTTTTGCAAAGTGCAAAAGTAATAAACTTATATTCCCTGTGCTCTTAGGGGCTCCAAAGAGCTTCCATGAGAGACATCCAGTGTACCTGAGCTAAAAAGCAATGGGTAGTCCATGCATGGACAGAGTGTAGAGCCTATATCCAAAAAAAAGGGTAGAGTTTCACACCTTATAAATAGATGTAACTACTGATTTGTAAGGTAGAATTGCAGGAGATCAAGCTTTATATACAGGGATTGCCTCACTTATCAGAGGGCTGGAACTATGGATTGAATGTTGCAGCTGCAGTACAGCTAATATGTAACAGGAACTGACAAGTAGTATTTCCATTTGAAATTGCAGTAGATGACAAAACATTACTGTTGTAACTGGAATTTGTCCAGGTAATTCACAGAGTCCTTGAAAAGATATTTAATTACCTTATATCTGATTGGGTCTTGCTGTGTGGAGGAGCAACACTGAATTGATGATTAAGCTAGGCAGGTGTTTATAAAATATCCTAAATTAAATTGGCAGAGAAAGTAGCATGGTGTGCTGGTAAATTTTTAATAAATTTAAGAACCATGAGTAGCAGCAGATTTAAAGTTTGGCTTTATAAAATGCAGTTATCTCCTTTATGAGAGCTCTGGAACAACCCTTCCCAAGTTGATAYGTATTTGCAGGTTTGGAGGAAACCATTATGCCTTTGAAATAGTATCATTTTTTGCTGTAAAAAAAAATTACATATTTAACTCTATGCAAAGCTGAAAAGGTATCAGGTGTTGGACCTGATCCCTTGTTGGATCCAATGTTATTAAGAACATTGCATTTGTGTCAGACTGGATGCTTAGTAAATTTATTTTGTAGTGCAGCAGAATAGGATTATTGTTGTTCACTATCAAGAGTTAAGCATGTAACATTTTTATGCTATTTTTCTTTGAATGTTAGAACCAAATCAGTTTGAATTGACTAAGAAAACAGAAATTTTGCTTGGAGATTTTCTTTGAAAAATCCCATATGGTGGAATATTGCTGATATCTCCCGTGAGTGCAACTCTGGCAGCCCCTACAGATGGAGGATAAGCTTTAGATTCCTTTTTGTGAGCATATTTTGCCATCCAACTTTTAACCTTTGCACTGGTCAGTAGAAAATAATTCACCTTGTTTGATCTCAGAAAACTATTAGTGTTAATRTGATTTGGTTTGCTTAGACCGAGTTTTTCTTCTGAACTCCCCCCATGTTTCTTTCTCAATATTTTTAATTCAGGACTATATTAGAATGGTATGGTTTCTGGATTCCTAATAAAAASTGCCACTCTGATTTTATCAGCCAGTGTTTTTAGCTTTTCTTTTCTTCTCTAGTGTCTTGTTTTAATGATATTCAACCAGATTTAAATGACACTGTTTTTAATGTTTCAGTAATTTGTTTGCATTTAAAGGGGCTTGAGTGGTAAATGTGGCTTTAGTCCTTTAACTCGCTCACAAACTTTGAATGTTGTTTTGTTCTACTTTTTTTTATTATTAATATTATTGTTATTATATTTTGGAATTTGAACTATCAGATTATGTTAATCTGATAAGGAATGGATGGCCTCTAGGTTTTGAAATTAGTGGTTGGCGTAAGTAAATCGTGGGGGAAAAAAAAAMCAAGACAGTTAATGTGACATTTTCTGCAAGCTCTGAATAGATTCTGTTCACCCATAAGTATATTGGAACTTTAAGGCAATGTTCATGTTTGGTGACGGATCATGGGTACTAGTTTTTGGCACTGCAGAAACAGCCATTAAGGACATACAAAACCTTTGGTTACATCAAGCTTAACATGGGAGGATTAATGAAAAGAGAAATTAAGCTTCCCTCTCAGCAAGTGTTTCTAACCCACTTTACCTTGCAAGGGACCTTGAAAGCCAAACTACTGTTGATAGAAGTCTGCCCTATGCCATAAGATTTGTGTTTGTTTACAGAGCATTTGGAGCTGCTCTCCTGGTTCTAGCAGGACCAAAGTGACAGTTCCCTGGCTTTTTATCTGCACGTGCAGATAACTTTGGATGTACAGTGGATGGTGATRCCTGGTCAGATCTTTATTTTCAAACATGCTGACATGCTGAGAGGCTTTTATTTAATTAATTATTTATTTTAGTTAATCTGAATTAGTCCTTGTGGCTGTATTCAGCAGGCTGGGTTTGTGTGAACAGCTTGTGGGTTTTGCGGAGAGACTTGGAAGAGGAAGAGGTTATAAAACAGATTTTGCAGAATGTTCGACCCCCAGAACAAGATGGGAAAAAGAACCAAGACTCTGGGCAAGCAGATGAGGTTTCGATCAAGGTCAACCTGAGATCATAGATTGGGTTAGAAGGAATGACATGATGGGTTAAAATGCAAAGGTATTAAGGAAGACATGGAGAAGATGCTGGACTTAGGTTTTGTGTTGGAATAACCATCCCGCCACCAGTGTGCAGAGTGCTCACATTGGCCTCTCAGCTTCAGGCACTGACATGTCTGAGCTTGGCTGGCTCAGGCTTGGATTTTTCAGGGAGCAAACAGACCACTCCAGTTTCTGTGATTAAGAAGCTGCAAAAGACCCATTATAAAACTCTGCAGAGCTGCTGTCAGCTGTGCCTTTATCACCCTGGGAAATCTTACTGTACGCAGGAGTCTGCCATCCCTGCTTCACTGCTGCTGCATATTTACTTGGCTGTGCAGCTCCTTTTGTTTCTTCTCATTTTAGCTGCTTTGGTCTCACTAATACACATCCCACATCTCAAGTCTCATTGGTCACAGCAGCCAGGAGCTGCACCTGCCTGGAGACCTGATTCCAAGACACAGTCAGCAGGTGATAGGACAGGCTTGGCACGTTGCAATTTGATGGACCTGGTATATTTTTGAGATACATGCTTTAGCCAGGCTCTTGTTGCTCTCTGTAGCCAGGCGGGTTGATGACCTCCTCAGTAAGCCGTGTTACTAGATTTTCGCAATACCAGGACAAAACATTGCCTTTTTCTTTTAAAGTCACAAGTGAATGGGGACCGTGAGAACAGAAGTCTGCGGGGTTTTCAGAGTTGTGCAGTTACTGCATGAGTCTCTCAAAGATGAGGTTATGGTATTGCATAAAAACACAAGAGTCATGCAGTCTTTTAAAGGGTCAGGTTTGGATTGGCATCTCTTTTCCTACATATATGGCATAACATCTTGCTGGTTTTGAATAAAAGCTAAAGCTAGTCTTGTGTTTCCTTGTCCTTTATGTTTCAGGGCAGTTGGACATCTTCAAACTAGAAGCACGTCTGCTGACTTGTAAAAAAGGCCATCTCTCTTTTGTGCCTGGTGGGATTTGGGCTAGTTGTGTATTGCCCATTGGGTCTTAGGAAGAAGCTGTAAACCTGTCCTTTCTTAAAGCTGTAAATGTTGAAATAAATATCCTTCCCATCCAGTGCTACTAACAAATAGTAGCAACTGATTCTATAAGACAAGTAAGTGAATGTTGGGAAATATCAGGATTTCCTGAGTTTGGCATTAAAACTTACCAAGCCACTTAGTCTATTCATAACCTAAGCTGGTGAATTGGATGTGAAGCAAGATGAGTAAGTGTAATTCTAGTTTATGGAAGTGAGCCAGATGAAGCTAAAGGCCAATAAAGTTTCAGCTAAGTTTTTAATGTTTTATTATTGCTTTCAGAAATAATATTTAGGCAGTGAAGCTGTGAGAGAAACTTCATTATGGTAGCAACTTTTTCTTTTTTTTTTTCCTTTTTTTTTTTTTTTAACTCTTAGCTATTAATAGCCAACTATACACATGTTAAAATAGATTGGAATCGAAAGGTTAAGTGTTATCCTGCAGATTTGATAAACTCAACTGTTGTTGTTGTCACAGCTCTTTAAATGACTCTATTGACAGTTTTTCCTTTTTTCTTTTTTTCTTTTTTTTTTTTTTTCTTTTTCTTTTCCAGTGCCTGCCATTGCGTGCTAAGTTTTCTCTTGGCTCTGCCTGGCAGGAAAAAGGGGAAACTAGAAAACCCCATTAGCTGTCCATTTGCAGAATGTCCAGGCTTTACTCTCAATACACAAAGAAATACAACGGTAGGAAGTTGTTTCACATCCGAGCCAAGATAAGGTCCTGGAGGTTTATTATTTTTGTTGCCTGATAGCATCAGGACTGGGGAGCAGGGGGCAGAGAAGGAACAGCAGATCAACATCCCATGGGGGCAAGAGAAGGGAAGACAGACAGATAGCCAAGTGCCGACAGCTTCAGTCAGTGCTCCCAGAGGAAGTGTTGGTTTCACCAGATGAAATTAATACACAGAAGTCTTTACAGAGGCATTCAGATGTGACATTGTTTGGGGGGCCTGGCTATATGGCAGATGTATAAAGCAGTGAATCATATGTTTACATATAATTAGGTTTGTATTGACAAGCCAGGTTTTCCTTTTGTTTAATAATTTCCTACATTAACATCAAAGAACTTGTTTTTGTAATGAAAACGCATTTCCCTTTTTGGTTTGCTTTGCTATAGTTCTATATTAACATCAAACACAAAATCACAACTCCCACACAAAGGACAGAAATATATCCATTTATAGTCTCTGAAAATGGATACAGCATTATAAAACTTCCTTCATTTGGACATATTTGGATAATCTGTTCTATGTGACCCTGTATGTCCTAACAAACTTTAAGAGTATCTGATGAATGGACAGTGTGTATTAACTTTCAGATACATTTGAAAAGTTGGATGAGATTTAATACTCCAGTTCAGCATCAGAACTTGTTGTACTATTAACTGTCCAGAAGCTSAGTGTAGTGTAATCAAAATTTTGTTGATATTAATGTTTTCAGCTTAGAGTTACCACTACAAAAATATTTTTAAAGATGTATAGTTTAACATGAAATTGAGAATGAAATCCTATGGAAGAGGTGGAGTTTAAAATCTTTGAAATTTGGAAGCTGTAACAAAACCTAGATTCAACAGAATTTGCCTCATTCATCTTTAAATCCAGTGAAAATAATAGTTTTAAATTCTAAAAACTGCTTGAACAATGTTTGTCCTAAGCATCTCAGCGTTAAAGATATTAGAGCGAAGTTGATAAAACTTTATTGCACAAGCTGAGGGGACTAAAAAAGAGTTTTTAAGTAAGTGTATAAGATGAAAAGAAGACTTTAGGAATATTTAATGTTGGAGCACATTACTGATAACTTGTGTACACAAATGTGCACAGCAGGCTGTTTGTCAGTGTTGAGTACCTCACAATTAGTGCTTATTGCTAGCATTCATTGTAGAAGTTGCTTATTTGCTTGTTTTTTATATATATATATATATATATTTATACACACACACACACACACACACACATCCATACACACACAAATAAATATGTATGTATGTATGTAATCATGTTGTCTCCGAACCAAATTTAAAATATGTGGTAAATATTAAACCAGCTGGCTTTTGCATGTTTTGCAGAAAGATACCTTTCTTCTCAATAGCCTAAGCAAAGGCAGTGATAATAGAGCTCCTTCCACAGAGAAATTCATTATCTGTACTTTCCACCTTTACAGTTTTTCACCATCAATTTATTTTCTTTCTACTTGGACCATCAAATTGCATGACAGACTTGGAAATCTATGATGGGAAGTGCCAGCTTTTTAGATTATCTCTGCCAATTTTTTCAAATAACTTATACATTAATGTCTTCTTCTTTCTTTAGGCCGAGTCCCTGATACGAAAACTCTCAATTTGGAAACAGTTGGCGTGAAAACTAATCCTGAAACTGGAAAGATCATTGTTGATGCCAGCGAAGCTACTTCTGTTCCTCACATTTACGCAGTTGGAGACATAACAGAGGTACTGAGTCTACATAAACTATTTTACAATAACAGGAAACCAACTTTGTTCCTGACTAATAACTAGTCCCCAGATGTCGTCATGCTGTAACATATATATTAGTGTTTTGCTCTTTTTCATTTTTGTAGAGCTGTAGTGTTTATGCCAGCCACCTGGGTCAGTAATTTCCTTCACATGGATTTTGTGAAGTACCTCAGCATTAGAGATTATTACTGATGCTTATCAGGCAAGCATCATTGGTCAGAGASTAGTAATAATGTCTTTATCACTTTAATTATCTTTGTAATAACATTTTTATCACTTCAAACATATGACTTCATGCGGCCTGTGAATACTGAATAAAAATAGATTTTTAACTTCTGGAGTTGAATATGTTTGCTAAGAATGACCATGACAAATTCTTTAAATAGTTTCTGATTTGCATATTAATTTTGATTAAAACATCAATTCTGTTTCCTGATGTGAAATGTTTCTGATCAAGATCTCTACTTCCAGAAAAAAAAGAGAGTTCTCCAAAAACTTAATACATTTGACTTCTATTTATGATTTGTAAGTGTTTGCGTCACATAAATAATAATGAGTATTTAAAGAAAACAAAACCCATTATTAGCTTGAGCAAAACATTTATCTTGTTATAGATGCAAAAACAGAAATCTGTGGCCTTAATTTAATTCTGTTGATAATCCAGAAAGTTATCTGTGACAAGAATCTCTTGCCCTGCACAAAACATGCTGAGAAGATACTTACAGTCACTTAGTTCTTCTAAGTAAACTGAAAAGAATGCCTGCTGTATATGTTTCAATCTGGGCCTCTTGAAATATGCTGTCTTCATAAAATACAATGTATGGCTACATTGCAAACCATACACTACAGTGCAAAAAGTGCCTRTCCCTTACACTCAAGATTGGTTTTGATATAAGGAAGATATCTTTTAAAATGTTTAGAAATCTAAATACTGTAATGATAATCAAAGCCCATACATGTTATATTTTGAAGGACCTTTAAAAGGTTTGACATTTTGCCAAATACAAGCCCTGCAGGTGCCCGGATCTTTTGAAGAGATGTAACAGGTTGCGTGATGTGTTGGGAACAGCCCTGCAAATTCCTGACTGGGCTCTGGAAGAGTCAGAGACACTTAGATCTCATAAATCTGCTGACCGCTCCTGACCTCTTCCCCTGTATCAAGGCATGTGTTTCTTCCTGTCTGTCTCCATCTTCATGTGAATGACTGGTCATTTCCTTTTTAACTGTGCTAAAACTCTTTCCTGCTTGGCTATTTCTCCTTTTTTTTTCATAACTCTCCACACCTTTTCTGTCTTGTCTGGTCACTCAGAGCCTTGGGATTATGTGCAGATCCTCTCTTCTCCATCCACAGGGAGGTTTCTTCTCTACCTGTCACTTGTGCTCTGGGCTGTTTCCTCAAGTCCTCTTTCTACTCAAAATCACCTCCTAGCCCTGCTCAGCTCTGCTGTATGTATGCCTTGGACGGGCCTCCTGCTTTCCACACTTTTCTTTTTAATTTCATCCAAGCGGCAGTCGTTAGAGGCAATGTTGGCAAGGCTGTAGATTCTGTTGCTCAGTCTGCTGCCAATCTGCAGTGTTATTCTGGGCAAGTCATTTCCTTTTGGATGCTCTTTGTCTTCTGCCCTTTGAGGACTTAGGTAAGAAATATGAAGTTGGAGGCAGGATGCTCTCCTCTTTCCTACTCTACATCTGAAAAGTCAGATCTTCGCTTATTGGTTATTTTCATTTCCTTGTTAAACCTTCAGTTTCCTTTTCCTGCTTTTGTCCCATGTTAGTTAAAATTTTCAATCTGAAACRGTGTAATAGGGACTTCTAAATGAACTGGTAAAACACAGTTTTACCCTCTGTGCAAAGTACAATTGGGAAAAACTGGATAGTTAATGTGTGCCTTGTAGAAATATTCCCTGAAGTTTATAGTTATGTATCCTCTCAGAGCACTGGGATAGGGAATTAATTATTTTAGAGAATATATCTCAGTGGCATGAGAATGAGCATGGAACAAAGTTCACAGTGTGGTTGCTCTTGGTGCATATCTCAGCAGAACGCACTGGTTTCTTCTTTCTGCATGCTTTGAGAACCCCCAAGCTGTGCGGCTTGGTGTGTGAGATCCCTGCAAACACCTGGCAGGAAGGAGGAATCTTCCTTCCTGCAGATGAGCATCAGTGATCTCTAATATTGCCTATAAAATTAGAATTTTGTCTCCACTATTCCTGTTCATGTCTTTTCTTTCTTTTTTTTTTTTATTCTTTGGTCTTTTGCTCTTTCTGTTTCTTCGGTGCCATAGGATGTTCTTTGTAGTTTATACATTTGCAAGTAACTGTCAATTCCCGGGCCTCCCTCTTCCCCTTGCCAAAGTGAGTAGACACTAACTTGCTATCAAATAGCAAAAGAAAGTCTTTTTTATTCAAAGCCCTGGGGAGGGGAGGAGGGTGGTTGCTGACATGTTCAGAATGAGTGTTTTCATTTGGGAGTCTTACCCAGCTGGCATAAATGGGAAACTATGTGTGCATGGGTGTCTTGTTGCACCCTTCTATAGGCAATGAAATCCTAAAGTTATTCAAGCTGTTCATTTGGATAAAGGGGAAAAACCTCTCATAGGTTGATTGGTTTGTGTACCCTCCAAAGAATTCAAACTGTGGCAAAAAAGAGCTTTCAAGTGACAAGAGAATTTTTATTTACTTATTTATTAATGCTTGATAATTAGGATGAGGATGACCAGTATGGAATTTTAATTTGAACCTTTGCAGTGTTGGTCATGTGTTAAAATCCTTCCCTGTTCATGTTGGAAAGCACAGTACACACTACAAAGATGTTCTCTCAGAAGGTTTATTGTGTGTGCACAGCATTATATGTCTGTTGTATTTCAAAGAATRTTGTAACAAAGATGTGTAGAGAAGATGGAATGTACAATATGTTGCTTTGAATAGAAATAAAACCAAAAAAGAGTCATGTTAGAGCAAATACACAGGACTTCAAAGCTTTTTAAATTCTCTTAGGAACTGTCTAGTTTAAATGTATAATACGTTGGAGGATTCTTATGAACAATTCATATCCATAATATTCAGCAGGGTAATTCTACACATGACTGCAAAGTGAATGTTCATTTCAAATATTTACCAGGGAAGGTCTTTAAGCCATTGTTTATGAGAAATTGGGCTTTATCTGCATGGGTGTTTTAGTAATTAGCTGGGTTTTTTGGAATGCATGGCAGTGCTTTCACAATTTTATCTCTTGTTCCAATCTCCTATTCATTTCTGGAATGCCAAAACAACATCTGTATTTCCTGCTACAGAAATGATTGGCAGCCATGTTTCAGGCAAATGTGTGCAAGAAAAAACAAATGGCAAATTTCATCTGGTAAATGACACTTACAGACTTGAAAGTCAAAATGTTGGCTTTGAAAACCTATGATTTGATGGATTTTAGGCTTGCAGTTTCTTGGTTTATTGTGGGGCTGTGGGGAAAAATAGATTAGTCTTCATTAACAATTAGAATAAGGAGTGTCTGTTACCAGGTTAGACATAAGAGCTTTTCATGTCATTTGGGTTTTTCTTTTTGGAACAGAAGTCTGAACTTAAGTGGTTATTAGCATAAGCACATAACGATATGCTCTTGGCTGATGTGGTATGTGTACTGAAGTAAATGGCAGAAACTACCTAAGAACATACAGAAAAGATGTGAAACACAAATGGATTGTGATAAATTAAATGCTCAAAAATATTAGGTTAATTTTTTTAAACACTGGAAGGTGTGTGGTAGGAAATCTCTATTTTAATTTCTGCTAAAGGTTCTTTTTGAGGAATTATTGGACAACCATTTCCAAATGGGGCTTTGCAGGAATCTGATGAATATTGGATCTAGATATGACCTATATGAATCAAAATTTCACAGTTTTTAAAAAGCATTCCACACTGCCCCATGAAGGTACTGTTTTCCAGCTATGGCTTTTTGTGTCTCCACATCATTCCCTCTAGATTTTTGACCTCTGTCTCGTCTCAGACAGGCATCTTGATGATCTCTTCTTGGATAAGTCTTGAAACGTTTTTGACTAAATTTATAGTTTTTAGAGCTTATTAACTTACGTGGATTATTCTTCCTCAGATTTCAAAAAAATCCTTTAAAAATGCCTCATTTGATTTCCAAAATTTCCAGCTTGCTGAAAACTAGCCTAGCAGTTCTGCTGCCCTGGTGGTATTGTGCCAGCACTCAGCACTAGCACTCTGGCACATCATGTAGACCTGTTTGGATATAAAAATAGCCAGGACTCAAGCTTGAATTGGAGCATGTCCTGCTTCTCTCCTACTGTCGTTCCAGTTCTTACTTGCAAGGAGTTAGTGTTTGCCAATAGCAGCCCTTTTCCTGACCCTTTTTAATACCAGAGTCTGCGACTGGGACCAACACAGACTATAACTCGTGGTGCTGCCAAATAGTGTTCCACTTCTGTGATCCGGGATCAACATAGGAAGTTGGTAATAGTCCTTGCAAAAAGCAAAGCTTTTTTGGTGGGTTAAATCTATGTTTTGCAGCTATGTGGTAGACATAACTTTTTTTTAAAAAGGTCTGATGTTTTAAAATGTTTTTACTTTACACTAGGGTCTGAGGATGTTTTTTTGCTTTAAAAAGACAACCAGAAAAAAAAAATCTTATCAATTTCTTACAATGGGGAGAAAAAGGGAAGTGGATGTGAATATCTTCTGCTCTTTGGGGGGTAACATGATAAGCTGTAAGATTCTGACATGCATTCATTTGCGGTGTTTGTTCCCACATCAAGACAGCTCTCAAACTCAGGCACTTAAAAGCATGTTTGGATAGAAATGATTACTCCTTCCTCCATTTGGAGCCCTGACTACTAAGCTGGAATTCCGAAGATCTGGCCTTCCTCTGCCCATTGTCCCAAGAGAAATCCTCTTATGTTACTTCTCTCTCAGTTAAAACAAAGCTTTATGCTCTGTTCTCAGGGCCGCCCTGAACTGACACCCACAGCAATAGCTGCGGGAAAACTGCTGGCTCGGCGTCTTTTTGGCCAATCTTCAGAACTGATGGACTATGACAATGTGAGTTGTTATTTCTTCTTTCAATAATAAAACCTTATTTAATTTTTTTAATAGAATTTTATTTTGTCATCTGGAATCCAGCTTTCACAGCAATCAAATTGAATGGATGTGACAGGGCTAGACTTCTCGCTCATGTAAACAGTCTCCCCTGCATCTGCCATGCTACTGCTTCTTATGGTTCAACAGTAATATTTTATGTTGTTTCCTCACAAGCAGGTACCTACTACAGTTTTTACTCCCTTGGAATATGGTTGTGTTGGACTTTCAGAAGAAAAGGCTGTACAGTGTTATGGATCAGACAATATTGAGGTATGTCTAATTTTACAACTGATGCCAGAGTTGTCTTATGAAGAAAAAAAAAAAAAAAAAAAAAAAAAAAAAAAAAAAGGCCCCCAAAATATTGTCTTTGCAGTTAGGGAGTTGGTGTTTTCAGAAAATCTCAGGACTTTATAGGTGTTACAACGTCACAAAAATGGAATCTGATTGCAGTGAAATTAATCACTATTTTAACAAGTGACATTGTGCATGTTCATTAAATTGTCGTTATGTTCCTTTTAGCTGTTAGAAGCTCTAGTCAGGTCATTTAGTCAAAACTCTTATATAATAAGCCAAATTAAAACTAGTCACCTTTGAAAGGATATGCTGTGTTAAAATCATTCCCTCATCATTAAAATTGTCAGTATACGACTCAATAAGCTGTGGAAATGTGAAGTGCAGTAGTATAATTATAAGCTCTCTACTCCATATTCAGTAAGTTATTATTTCTAATTTGTATTATTCTGAAATATTGTGTACTCTCTAAAATTTATCCTGAGCTTGTCTTGTTTTCTGGATACTGATACCATTTAAAATGCTTTTGGGTAAGAACAAGTGTTCCTACCTGATGAAGATGGGCAGTTGATGTGTGGTGCAGATGCGATGCAGCTGTGATATATGAATGTGAGAGAAAGTTTGGCTGATGAGTTTATTCTGGAGCCCCTGGCAAAATTATTAATAAAGAAATAAGCATTTACTCTGCAGTCTGCAAAATTACAATGCAAGATGTCCTTGCATTATTCATGGTTAAAGTTTTAGAAGGCTTCTCAGATTTCATTATTTTCCATTTGTGAGGTATTACTTAAACTTTTGGTCGTGAGATATCTAAAGGATCTAATCCAACAGTATTCTGAATTTGGGGCACTGACTTGAGTAGCCTCATGTATGTGTGTGTATATATATAKAKAGAGAGAGAGGGGTTTTTTTTTAATTTTATGGTTTTCTAAAAAAGTTTTGTTATAGTCTCAATTGTATTTTCCATACCTCACTTTAAAATAGTGAACAAGTTATAAATAAATCTGTTCTTGTTTTTCTGTAGCATAATAAATATGCAGTAATAGTAATCATTATAATAAAAATAGCGCTCTTTTCAACATAATGGTATTCTCTAACACAAAATGTTATTTTCTCTGCCAGGTATACCATGCCTATTATAAACCTTTAGAGTTTACAGTGGCCGAAAGAGATGCAACTCAATGCTATATAAAAGTGAGTGTTGAAACCTTCTAACTTGCTTTATCTTTAAATAAAAAAAGAAAGAAAAAAAAAGGATAGTACAGTATCATTTGAGGAAGGCACATGAACAAGCATTAAACTTAGAGTTTAAATTCTAAAATCATTTTTTATTTTCTTTTTCTGTTCTATTCTTTCAATGTTTAAAATACCATGTCAGGAGCACTATTCTGGGGATTCCTGATGAATAAATTCACAGGCTTTACTGAGTAGCAGAACCTATGAGGTTAATAACTACTTAGTGTTTGAAGGGAGGACACAGAGAGACTCACTCTGACTTCTGTTTTATAGTGAAAAAAATGCTGTCCTTAAAGGAAAACAAAGCAAACAAAGAAAAAAAAAAAAAAAAAAAAACAAAAAAAAAACATTTGATAGTGGTCTGTAATACAAGCAAGTGTGCATCATTCAGGCCTTCACAGATAGTTTTTCCTCTTCATCTTTTGTTGCTTCCAAGGGTTGACTCCCTTTTAAGTCATGCATCTGATGTGGTAAATGTCTCACAAAATGTGATACTGTTCACGAACTGAATTACAAAGGCACAGAAAGTCCTGTAATTGGTAGTGACCATCTTTGGAAATACACCTGAGAATTCCTATAGAGGCTCAGAGAAGTGCTAAGGTGGCCCTTCAGCATCAAAATGATAGTTGGATTATCGGACTACAGAGGACATTTTAAAGATTTAACAAACAATGAGCAATTAAAAATACCCCAAATTACTGGCTTCCAATGGCCCTCTGAAGTCTGAAAGAAATATGCTAATAAAGATTTGATCCAGGAAAGTGCTTAAGGACAAGCATAAGATGTATTGAAGTCAGTAAAATTTGGAAAAGTGCTCAAGTCCTTTGCCTGCTGGGTATGGACAGCTGAACTGGGATCTTAGGGCACTTCAGTTTCATTTGATTCATCTTCGTGCCTTATCTTTAGATGCTCTAGGAAAGGATCTCTAGGTAATGTATTATTTTCAGATGGTGTGCTTACGAGAGAGAGAGCAGCGAATCCTTGGCCTTCATTTCATTGGACCAAATGCAGGCGAAGTTATTCAAGGATTTGCTCTTGGAATCAAGTAAGTACAAAAGAATGTCTCTAGCTTCTAAAGCCTGCTTTTTAAGTTATTGCAAGATTATAAAAGATAGCTGCCTAGTTTTGGCAATGCTATAAAGAATCCATGCTTTTTTGTTACTTTTATGTAGTATTGCACATATTTTCACTAAAATGATGCAGTTCTTCATTAAGATATACTGGATTTAGTTATAGAAATACTGGATATAATTAAAGAACAACTGAGGGAAAATATAGTGCTGGCTTGGTAATGTTAAAGAAGAAAATAAACTTACACATGCACTTACTGAGGTTAGTTTTCTCAGAGAGAGAGGCTGCCTTCGCATTCTATGCACTGGATAGATACTTGCCATGTAGTCTTTCAAGTCTTTTGTTTAAAAGGAAATTTGTGCTTTGCTTGAGAAGCTTTTTTTACACCTGCCAATAACTTTTCCTAATCTCCTGTTCAAATGTGCATAGCCTTATCCTCTTAAAAACCTCAGTATGGACTTGCATGAATGTTTCCAGGGTATAAGCTAATCACTRCATGGTATGGAAGAAATCTCTATAATATGGCGGAAGAGAGCAGCTTCTTTAGTTTGGAGATTTTTTTATAAATGCAATAATGTACTTACCCAAAGTAGATGAACTTTTGTGATCGTGTTCAAGAGTCTGTTCAAAGATGAATAAAAAAGTGTGTTTTTCCTGACCTGTGTATTTCATGTTCTCCCTTTGAAGAAGTAAGGAATGATTCTGGATCCTTTCTGGTTCGATGCAACATTTCTGATGTCTCTTTTGTGGGCTACAATTCTTTCTTACTTGTTTTATATTTCCCTTCTTGTATCTGAGTCACATCTGCAGAAATGTTGATTCATATATATATGAATTACTAAGTTATATTTTTCTAACTCATTTTTGAAGAAAATAATCAGTGGGATGCAAAAAGCTTCCCCCCCCCACCGACTCCGATGTCAATTCAATGTCCTGAACATCAGCACAATTTTATTGTAGTTTTAGCCTTATCTTGTGAGTGACTAGCACAAATGAAAAGCAGAAAGGATTAAGAAGGCAGGACCGCAAGTATCACGTGAGGAATATCTTAGGAATCACTGATTGCAGTATACCCGGAGTGCACATTTTCAACATGTGTTTGTAGTCCATTAATTGCCAATGGTATAGATTCTAGAACTACATTTTTTAGGATGTCATTGGTTTGAAGTTTTATCCAAAATAACCAACGAAAAGGAAGCCCATGAAACTGGAATGCTTTTCTGCCTTGCCTGAGGGAAATTAAAACTTGAGCCACAGTAAGAGGTTTTCAGCAGGTCAGATACTTGTATTGGTTTCTATTGCATTTCACAAAACTGGAGTTTTGTGGAACACCCGTTGTAAGTATAAGCTTCTCTTCTTTTTGTTGAATATTAGGTGTTACTTCAGTCCTTCCAAAGGATGGTTTTCTATCTTCCCTTCCCATTTTGCACTCCAATCACACCTATGCTCAGCAGTGTTTATCTCTTGTGATATTATTTTGAATGGAGGTGGGACACCAGAGGACTTGTGKCTCTCTTCCCTGTATTTTGCAGAGGAAGGAACATTTTCCATGAAGGGCATGAAATGATTTTGAAAATTAGACTCATTCAGCTATTCTTACAGAGTGACTGGCCGGGAATAGCAACCCTAAGAAAAGTCACCAAGTCTAAGAATGTTATCAGACCAATGAAGGAATTAAGCATGTGGAATTTTAGCTCAACCTCTTTTTTTTTTTTTTTTTTTTTTAATGAATAGGGGATGAATTTTCTCTCTTAACAATTGTCGACTTTAAACGCCTGATTTCCCCTTAGTATCATACAAAAGTATTCTGATATTACTTCAGATTTCTGCCTGCAGTCCTAAGTAAGATTTCCTTTGTGTGTGTGTGTTTTAAGCATGTGTGTGAAAAACATATACAAGTAGAAGAAAATATGGAGGTTGCAATTTGTTATGTGTTTTTGCCCTAGGTTCATTTGCGACCTTGGGTAAATTGCTTAATTAGCTCTGTGTCAGCTCTTACAACAATTCTTCTTTACCTAAGAGTTGTGAAGTTGAATATCTAAATACTTATTGTGTAAGTATGTGAGAAATAATAGGCAGCATTGTTTGAAAAATAACTTTAAAGACAACTCCTCTACCTGATAAGATAAGAGCAAGATTAATTTGATGCTTTAGGGCATTCTAGCAATTTTAGGTAAATAGTCTATGACTTTGTGTTTTCTTTTTTGTTGTTTTGTGTGTGTGTCTGGTGTTTGTAGATGTGGTGCTACTTATGCTCAACTAATGAAGACAATTGGCATTCACCCTACCTGTGCTGAAGAAATTACCAAGTTACATATTACAAAGCGTTCTGGCTTGGATGCAACGGTCACAGGTTGCTGAGGTTAAATACCTTCCCTGGAAAGAAGGAAAAAGAGCACAAAACAGAAAAGAAAATGGGCAATTTGACTTGAAACTATTTGAATAGTTGGAGTCTGGGGCCAAATGAAGAAATAGTGCTCCTGTCCTCATGGTTCTAAAACCAATGCAGTTCCACTGTATCAAATCTGTCTTTCTCCTTCAAAGTACTATAACTCTTCTCTTGCTCAGAGCTAAGAAATAATAACTGTTTTATATATAAAAATGCATCTGAAACCATTGCCACCTGAGGCTTTCTGCAATTTAAACAGTTGTCGTATGGCTGACCACCCATAGACATGTCTCACATGACATTCATACAGGTGCCAGCAATCAGACAGAGCCTCCCTAAATGTGCAATCAGGATACCTTCTCTGAAGGACTTGGACAGTTTATTACTGAATCTTGGACACAGAGAATCAGCAATAGGAACAAGTTCCCAGTGTGTGTAATGACAGGTAAGCAGACACATTTGTTTATGCTTTAAAATGTTCAGCATACGATCAGGATCCTGATCGTTATGTTCAGGAATCTGATAGAAAATCAGTTGTCACCAAAATTGTTGCTGCTGGATGAAGTCCCTGGCAGTGCAGCCATAGTGTTATGGAGTGGAAGCTGACATTTTTTTTAGCCAGAGATTCTAAAGAAAGAGTTTGATCTTACAGTACCTTCTCACCCTTGAAATTCAATTCAAATTAAAATTCAATTAATTAAAATTCAAATTAAATTGGTATGTCTCACAATTGCAGCTTGAACACCACTTATTAAGCAATATTGACAAGTAAAATCCAAGCCACAAATATTCTAGCTCATACATCTTTTTCTGTTTGATAGAACATGAAAATACCCAGTGACAGTGATCTAGTGACAGCTTTTTCTTTTTTTCTTGCTTAATATGTTGTCACTGATAAACTAGATGTCACTTTTAAATGAATTGAGATTTGGCGTTAATAAAATGCACATTACCAAAGGGAATTAGGGTTAGACATTAGAGAAGAAATGGTCCTGTTTTGAAAATAATTATCTGCAATTTTTTTTTTCAGTATATTGGGCAGAGTGAGAAAGCATGTTTCTATCGCAATTCCTGCTGGCCAGAAGGGGGAGATGCTGGTTAATTTGTGACAATAAAACCAAATTGGAAATCTTACAGTGAAGCCCCTCTTGAAGAACCGTGTTAAACTGGTCGCGTGACAAAGGCAAAACACAAAATAAATTGCTTTGAATTTCAGTTCAGGTTCTGGTTGACAATATTTTGGTTAGCAGAGTTGCTAAGATTTTGTACCCTTTACATTAGAATAATATGTAGTACAGGAAAGGGAGAGGCTGTCTTTAGGTAAAACTTATTTTTTTCCCCTGTTAATTTATATCAGTGTTTCTGCAAGAGGAATTTGATATTTTCTTAGCTATCGTACTTCTTGTTGAAGTTTGGGAGGATGTTCTCATGATCATGCATTTCTTTGCCATATTTTCTTTGACTGCTGCTTCACTGCAGATTGCAGTGCAGGTGAGTGTATTTTAAGGGAAAATATTTCTTACCACCAGAAATGTGAGAAAGTGAGGAAAAAAATGATCAGGCATTAAAAAAGGGATATAACAGGATTTATCACATTCTTTTTGATAGGAAGTAAATCTATTTTCAAGAAATTTAGACGAAATGGTGCGAAAATTTTGTGTCTGCATGTGAATGTGTGCCTACCTGTGCACTCARAAATTTCCTGTCTCCTTTATTAAAGGCCTGGGGATACAGTACAGCCAGAAACCCACTGTAAAAGAAACTGTTTCCAGATGTAAAAAGAAACTAAGTTCATAGTAAATTATTTTCTTGACAGTATTTTATTTTGTATTTCAGATATTGAGATACTGAGAATCTCAAACTACAGAGATCTTGATATGGAAATAATGCCACCTTTGACTAAAATGCACTGTGTATAGGTATATAAGATTTCTTCTTTTTTTGTAGAGATTCCCTATCAGTTGCTTTTGCAGCCGTGGATCAAAACACTGAGGTTCAGCCATGTGAAAGTGGCTGCATTGTTGGCAAAGCGTCCRACAGACTGAATTCTCTTCCACTACAGACAAATGCAAGGAAAGATGAGTTTATTTCATTTATTATAAAGCTGAAAATAATGATATGGGAAACAAAATACATCAATATATTTGGGATGTGAAATTAATACATATCAGCATACTCTCATATAATGTCATAGAGTTGGTTTTGGTTTTGGAATTGTTTAGAACTGCTTTGGGGGCTTAGTGAGAATTGTTCTTGTCTAGATTTGCAGCCTAGGTCTGTTCCGTATTTAATGCAAAATGTTGTTGCCCACAGAAGTAAAACTAAATGTCCATTCACACTTTATTCACACAACCATATTGTGAGGACCAGGAACAAGAMAGAGTAATGAAAACTACTGTTTGTGCTCTTTTTTTTTATGCATTTCTTCTGTAACTCTCCAGGGAGGGTCATTAAGAATCTTTTTTTAAAGCCCAACTGATGTATACTGAAATTGTGTGTTGTACACAGAAAATTACTGATGATTTGTAAAAGTAATTTTAGTTGGGCTTCTCAGGATGCCAGCTGATGAGGTCTTGTTTGTCAAACCATACCATGGTGCAGACAAGTCTGAGACTTGCTGGGTCCCTCATATATGTGATCCTGATATTTATTGTGTTGTGGTATGAATTAATAAAGGCTATTTTTTCTAGTATGTGTTTGATTTTTTTTTATTTTAATTTTGCCAATAGAGCTTTTACTTGCAAAAGAATTCTTATTGATCCTAATGCTGTTGCTCTTGGTTGTGTTATTTGTTAAGGAAACTTGAAATAGTAGCCATACTGAGACCCCTTAAAACAAAAGTGTTAATATCTGTCTGTTTCTCTGATACCTAAACTGAATAACCACAGACATTATTCCAGGCTGAATGATCTCCTCAACTATTTTAAATTAAGGGAATCCCTAGACTCAGGAATGGCGGTTTCAAATATTGTCCTGTTTTTTTTCCAGCTAGTGAAGTCTAACAGGTATGTTCACAGTCCGTGTGTGTTGACATGCTTCTTGCAAATGCATCAAGAGAAAACTCCCTTGCAATACAGAGCAGGCCGTGTATTATACAGGGCTTAAGCTACTATGTGTTTAGCATTTCCCTTTGAATTTTCAACTACAAAATACAGTGGAAAAAATGCATTACAACAAATCCAAACAAAAGCAATGAAACAGCAAAGCAGTGAGTATTGCTAAATGGAAGAGTTGGAAAAGGAATTAGGAAATGACTAGAAAAAAAATGTTTAAAAACTCTAATAATTTTCTAAAAAATTTCTTCTCAGAATGTAATGAGAAATTATATAAATAATGTAATTCTTCTCATAATTTGCCACTGATGCATTTCTGAGATGGAATATCAACTAGAATGCATTTAAAGACATTTTTATTTCTGCAGTTTTTATTTCAGCAGTGGCTAAAAATGCAGCAAGGTAAGCATTTTGATCATTCTTTCTCCTTATTTTCATATACCAATTAATCCTACAGTAAAGAGGAATAGCAAAAAGTATTAACATAGCATATAGACACAAATCTTTATAAATTGGGAATTTAATGTACTATATTATTTGTATTATAGCTAATGTTAGCTTGTTCTCAATGCTAAGATATTGTCTACAATTAAGTTTTGCCTATTCCCATTTATGCATGCGCTGAATGTAGTTTTATCTATTGGAAAATGTTTCCATGGTAAGTTATTCCATATCAGCAGCTAGAGAAGGTATTTCATTCCAGCAAATACATTGCATGTATTGCAGCGTGTCATTTGTCTTTACCAACCAGAATAGCTGTGTTAGCAAAAACAAAGACTTACACACAGTCTTGTGTGCTCAAAGTTTTCTATTCAGAGGCTTATGCAGATGAAGAAAAGTAGGTAACTTTCTGCCCATATAATTTGCCACGTGTCTAAATCCCAGTGAAATCAATGTACTCAAAGCTAATGTTAGCCATTAATTTCAGTGGGATTCAAGCGTGTGTCTCAGGTCCTTTGTTAAAGGGGAATCGATATAAGCATATGCCAAAATGCCTTTGGAATTACAGTTGGGGAACAGACTGCAATTATTATTCAAAACATAAAAGGTACAATAGGCATCTATGATTAGGCAATGAAATATGCCTTTAATAAGCATAGTGCAGACAGTTTGTTTTGCAATAAGTAAACTTGTATAAAATTCATTGACTTTTTCATTCTTTCAGGTTTGTGTGCTCTCTTTTAAGAGAAGTTTTTAGTTTTATGCACAAAGTTTTCCTGATGTTCTTCCAGCAGAAAGACTGGTTTTGTGTGCATTTATTCTAGTGCCAAACTTAAATTGTACTGGGAAAGAAGGAAAGAGAAGAGCAGACTTTTTTTCTTTTTTTGGGGGGATGATGAATTTAGTTTAGAAATGGAGTATTTCTGTCCACTGCATGTCAGAAAGCTAATTATATTTCTGTTGTGGCACTCAAAGTCAATATTGTCAGTTCTTCTTAGTTTTAATCCTCTACATTGAATTTTGATGGGCCAGGTGAAATATCCCCTTCAGCACCTTATTGCAATCCTTGTCAATCATCTTGCCATGAGAAACACACATATTACAAAGGCTTTGGCAACACTGCATCTGATTTCAGTCTTTAATCTTATACGCACCTTAAGAAAACACCATTCAAGCTACTGACGTTCTGTTTGGGATATGAATGGGATCCTACTCTCTGTGGGAAACAAAATGATCTAATCCTTAATGGATATAATGGAATTCTAAGGCCATCTCAGCATGAAAGTATAGTAGTAACACACCAGTCTAGGGAGAACAAAATTATAATGGTGAACAATGTCGAAATTAAGAACAAAATAACTCACATGAATAAGAAAACTGTGGTTTGTCTCTATCCATTTACCATATGACTTTAAAATATTTGGATTTGAGCCCATCTAGGTTTAGGAGACTGTCTTCCCCACCTTGCCCCCCAGACTTTCTTTGCAAGGCGTGCTGTTCACTGAAGTCCATTTCTAAACATGATATCCATACTCTCTGCATGCCGTTTTTTGTTTTGTTTCTTATAGACAAGATCTAGCACATCTAAAATCTGCTGGTCCTACAATGGAAAATCAGCATCATCCTTAAGAAGCTGGAATATAAACTAATAAGGCAGATTTCCAAAATCCGATTGCATCAGTCAGAAAGATATAGTATGAAGGGAAAAGTGGATATTCCCTGGGGGCAGTGTGAAATGGAGACCAGTCTTGTTTGAACAAGGTGCTTTGCATTGTTAGCGAGATAGAGGTATTGGGAGTTGCAGCCTGTCAGAACCAGCATCTCAGGGCGGAGGGGACTGTTCCAGGTAAAAGCCTCAGCAGTTTATGGAGGGGTATGTCCAATGTATTCATACAATAACTTAAGCAAACCCTTTGCACACCATGGAAGATGAACTATAAAGATACCCTTTCTGCACCCCCTCATTTTCTATCTGAGTGTATGAACCAGGAACACTGTTCATATTTTTCCATCCTTGTTCCCCTTACCTTGAAAAAACATGGGAATCAGGCTTGTTCTTCCTTGTCCTGGCAGAAAACTGAAAGGCAAGATCTTTCCTCTTAAATCTTTCATAAGGAGACCTCTTTTCCCAAGGCTATGTTAGGATTTGGAATTAGGTAGGTGTTAACATAACTCGAACAAATCTGAAACAAAAGGACTATAGATACTTCTCAGTCTTTGTCTATTAGGGCATTACATAACTTTAGTAATATAAGGAAATAACTACCTAATATTTCTAAAGTACTAGAGAAAAGAAAACAGTAAAAAATAGATATCTTYTAGATTTTCAACTTGAAGTCAAGAATATACACAGCCGCTTTCCCTTCTTTGCAGGCTACCTGTGAGACAAGACCCGAATATATTATTCCCCTGTGTATTCCTAACAAAACAGTCTGTGTTGAAAGCTTGTTTTATTTTCATTTCTTACTAATGTGTGAACGAGCCATAATGTAGCTGAACAATATTCTATTCAACACTGTGTCAGTGCAACAGGTTACTTAGCAGCTTTTAGCTTTATACTGGAGACTGAAGGGTATTACATGACTCCTGAGAAGGTCTAACACAATTAGGATGCACTGGAATTTTAGCTATTTAGTGAAATGCTTCTGTTCAACAGAGACAAAGGCTTGAGCTTTGGCATTTTTATTTAATCTTGATAATCTTCCTTTTTGTGTTTCTCTCAAAGGACGGAGAGGAAGTGCATTAATTTTCAACTTCACACGAAGGCAAGTTGTACAAACACAGCTGAAAACATCAGGAAACCCAGGCATTTTCCTTGGAGAGATGGAGCGAACTAGTGTTCTGCTGGCAGGAGACTGGTAAATAGTGGGGAAGATGTTGGCCGCAGTGGTTCAGGCACGGTGGTTTGGGTAGCAGGGTGTTCGTAATCTGACAGAGCCGTTCAGTTCGGCACGCTGGTGAACATTTCCACTAATGTAGAAAACAGAGATTATTAGCCACATAACAGGGAGCAATTTAAAGAGCACAAGCTGCTTTGGAAACATAAGAAATGCCTCTCAGATTGTCAAAAGGTGTTTTTTTCCTTTTTTTTTTTTTTTTTTTAAAAAGATTTAATTTATGCCAGACTTGGAATGAAATCATGAAAGACCTTTTGATTTTTTTCCTCTTTGTGTTTTCATTGAGTTTATTTCACAGACATATTCAAAAACTGGAAAAATAAGGAGAATTTCCTTGACACTTTTGACTTCGTTTACATTGATTCCTGACCCTGTTCCTTCTACATACATTCAGGAGGCCTTCAAGTTTTAGGTGAGAACTTTGATCTTATCCTTAATTAGGAATTTAATTGCATTCCTGACTGCTCTTTGACTTTTTTTTTTTCCTGTTTTGTTTTTTTGGGGGGGTGCTCTTGAAATTTTACTTCAGTTGCATTTGGCCTTATGAAGCCCTGGTGTATTCCCYGTGGGAGGGATATGAGCCCAGTGTACTCTTAACAGAGCATTTCAGCCTTCTCTGCTCCTTATTCCTTTTAGCTGCCTTGTGCACTTACTCTACCACCAAGTTCTTGAAACTTGGAAAAGCTCTTGAAATCTGGAAATGCTACAGCTGTGGAGGAGGCAGTTCAAAACAAAACAAAAAATCCTGTCCTGACTTCAGCCTACTCCCTGGTGAAGCCCAAAGGGATCAACCACTGTGAGTGCTTATGTGGGGCCTTCTAGTGGGCATCATCTTTCCTTAAAATGACAAAATACATCAGGTTCATGAGTTGCAATAGCACTTTGGTGTTTCCCTTGCAGTGGTAGAGTGGACCATCTGATGAAATTGCTCATGAAATGTAAAGCCACCTTCCCACCTGTTGCTGTGCTTACTGTGAGCCTTACACTTGTGCTGAGCAGCAAATTTTCAACCTGCGGACAGTTATGCAGGCCTGTGTTGGGATTGTCCTTGTATGGGGCTTACTCGTCCTTGTGAGGCCACCTCATTGCCTTCCTCTCTGGTGCTGGAAGTGCTCTGATTATTTCTGCAGTTCACAAGTTGGGTGAACATTTGCTGTAACTTATGGAATTAATGCCTAACAGCAGCAGAGAGGCTGCTCGCTTGGACCTGCATTATTGATTGAAGCACTCTCCATCACTGTACTTCAGTGAAGTGTGGCCAAAAACAACAAGATAAAAATTAATATAAGTGACAGGGGAGTTTCTCAGACTGTGCTGGTGCATATTAGCCTGGCTGAAGAGAAAAAGCTGATGCTAAAGTCTTTTGAGCTGCAAAGGGTCTGGTCAGTCCTTGAAGGGGAAGCACATGAATGGCCCAGTTGTCATCGCATTTTATTTTTCCTCCAACTTTGACTAATGGTGCATTTCCTCTGGCCTCCCACGGGCCRTCCGTGGCTGACTTGCTTTGTCACTCTTCACGTCTAGTCACTGGTCTAGTCACTGCCTTTACTGTCCACCCTGTTCCCATGGCGGGAACTCGGTGTCCTCTAAAAAAGCGCACAGGCACAAACGATCTGTCATTYTTCCCACTCCTCTTTCAGGCACCCACTTCCCATATTGTGTGGCCTTGCAGGCTGAAAGCAGCCTACCTCCCCCTGCATGCCTGGAGTACATGCCAAGCCTCTCCACTTGATAAGGGAGCTCCCAAATCTCCGCCTGTAAAAATACTAGTCGGCATCTCCCTGTTGATAACGGCCTCTCCTTTTTTTTTATTGTGTTTGTAGGGTGATAAGTTGTCTGGATCAACAAGGAATTGTCCCTGTTGCTTCTTTGCAGCAAGTTATTAGGGTCAGCTTAGGTGCAAGTTGTGAAATTTATCATTGCAAGAACAAAAAAATTGTCGTGTCCTATGGGCAAAAGGGGAAAAAAAAGGAAAGGGGAGAAGAGAGTGTCAGGAGATGTCATACCCAGGCCAACCCTACCACCTCTGCTGGACTTGGTCTCCTGCACCTATGAACCGTGAATTCAGAATAAGGCAGTTCTTCAGTATCACTTGAGAGTTCAGGTAATCCATGCAACAGGCGTTGTCTTGCAGATCAAACCTGTGAAAGCAAAGCCTCCTTGAGAAACCAAGACCTCTGCATGAATTTGGATTTAACTTGGGGAGGGTGGCCAGAAAAGATAGCACAGCACCCACTGAAACTCTTCCACATTTTCTGCAATGAGACGCCTGAACTTTGTGCATAAAATGCAAAGCTGAAGGTGTGCTAGATTTGTCTGGAAATGCTGCAAAGCAATTCTCATTTCCTGAAACTGTTGTGAGATTGGCCTTTTTCCATGGCCCCAGTTCTTAGCTAGTCAGAATGAAGTGGCAGGAGAAATTCACTCTCTCTTTCACTCTTTCATCTTATAACATATCTAGCAAGGCAGGAATCAGGACTTGGAACCGTTACCTCCTAAGTCTGCAGCTTGATCTCCTGCAGCAGAAATCATGTTCTAAGGGTTTTGTCTTCTCTTACCAAAGCTAATTGTTAATTGCATCTTCTTTTCTCTAGCCACTGCCATGAGGAACAACCGCCTTTTGTGCTGMTGACAGATCTGCTGCTCTGTTATCAGGCGCTGCTCTTTTGTCATCTCAGTTTCATAACTACCTCAGCCTGAGAGTCAGCAGAGCAGCCGTGTTGGGCAAACCAGGGCTTGGAGGCAGAGGAAGAGGATGGATGACAYTGAGTGCTTCCCTTTGACATGATTGTGGCTCTGATGGTGTGTTCTACCAACTACTAAGACAAATCTTTTTTAATCTTTTAATCTTTTTCTTTCCTTCCCCCTTTCCATGAGCTGAATTAGGGCAAATGATGATGTTGTTGAATGAACAACAATATAGATGATGTTACAGTAACTTAAAAAAGATATTTTGTGGCACTTTTGTGCATCACTTTTGTCAAATTTATCAAGAAAGAGATAATTACTACAGGTGGCAGAAGTTGACAGATGACCATCAGAGGATGCATAAGGGAATATATTTGATATTCCTGCCACCTTTCATGTATTTATGACAGGAATACTGTTTCCTTTTCATCGAGTACTGTCATCTACATCATTTTGCTAAGCTCACACGTTTGCCTGCTCTGCTGTGGCAGGAAGCACTCAGACCGTGCTGAGATTCCCTCAGCTCCTGGAGGTGGGTTTGCAGCCATGTGGTTGAATTGGTGCAACACTCGAGGAAGGTGCCACACTATCCCAAAGCAAAGTGTATCTGGAAGCAGCTTGTCCCGGGGAGCATCCGCAAGGGGTGCAGATATCCCCATGGAGATGGGTTCCCAGAACTGCATCCTAGCTCTATTGAGAAGCAGCCTGGTATTCATGTACTTCCCTGAAATATTCTCTCACAGATGATTTGAACACTCTTCAGTAGAGATCATATTTCTAGTTTGGGATTCCCTTTATACATCTTTCATTAATAGAGGGATTCTCTGCAATCAGAGATCAGCACTACAGAACAGCTGGATCCATTTTGGCTTGACAAGTGGCATGGGCATTCTTTATATATATTTATGGATCTTGTGAACCTTCAGAATGCTTTTAATAAATATTAAAAATAATCAGGGGTTCTGGAAAGAATTCACACTGCATTGCCATAGTCTGCAGGAGTTCTTCCATCTTCCTCCACAATATGTATTACTAGCTGACACTGGGAACTAACTGGTCCAGTCTGGGAATTTCTAGCTAGAGGAAAGGGAGTCTATACAGGGAACTGGTATCTCTTTATCATCAGAGAGTGCAAATATAACACAGGCGGCAGCTTGGCTGCCCCAGGAGCAAGTCGAGCAAGAAACTTTCAAGCAGGAACCTCAGGAAGCTCCCTGGAGTTTTGCTCTGCCTCCTGCACCCGCTGTGGTGGTTTGGTAGGTTATTTGCCTTGCTTGTCTGGAGGTAGCTAGAGCTGAAGCATATGTTTTCCATCTAGAGCTTGGAGGATGCCCAGGTCTGACTTGGCATGCTGTTTGTGCTGGGCATCAGCAGTACAGATGTGGAAACCACAAACCCGATTAATATGAGCCTAGGGTAAAAACTCAAATAAGCTTATAAATAAAACCAGACTCGCAGATTATTTGTTTCCATATTAGTCTATAATAGACCCTACTCAATATGTTTGTTTTATTTGGTTTGGTGACCGACATTGGTATTTATATTTCCAATAAAAATTTAAATCAGAATAAAACCAACCAAGTAAGCTTAAATTATTTGTGCAGAAGATGATTGCAACTGTCTGAAGCGTGTAATGCCTTACATGAAATGTTAGCGTGCTTTGAACAGAGATGTGACAAACGCCTCACTATTTAATTTACCATTCCATCTTAGCTCCAAGTCCTACCCTTTCATATATTAAAATAGACTCGTTAGATACAGCATAATCCTCAGCAAGCAATCTGGTGGTTGTGTGATGGCTTGGTGGGTAAGTTTCTAAGAAAGCATCATCTGTATGGCCTTGGTKGAGTCACTGAATGAACCCTAGGTCCTAGCTGGAAGTGGTGACTATCTGTTAATGGGATAGGATGCGCAAGTAAATACCTAAATAGGTTTGTTCGAAACTGTCTATTTTCACTGACAGAGTATCTGCTGAGACCTCAGCGTGCCCAAGGACCTCTGGGTCCTTTCCAGCAAATCCTCAGACAATGCACTGCAGTGAATGAAACTGTCCGTGGGAGAGGGCTCCTTGGAGGAAAAGAAGAACCTGGGAAGGTTTTTTGTTGGTGGCAGCAGGCACATTTGACTCAGTGATCTCATCCTGGGACCTGTCAGCTCTCTACCCAAGGTAAGGTTGCCTCCAGTCAGTGTCATTTAAACATGTTTGTACTTCTGTAATCTGTGGTACAGCAGCAATAGGGCCTCCAGTTTGCTTTGCCATAGGAGAGGATGCCTGCACAAAGCCTGATAAGTCTTTGGAATCAAGCTTGCACCAAGGCCTTGCACACATTTGTGGTAGGTGGTATCTACAGCTGACTGGTTAGGCTTACCTAGATTTCARATTTTACCAAGATGACTTGGAAATAAACACTTCCATGTGCTGTTTTGGATCTCCTGTAGGCTGTTAAGGGAGAGTGCAGTCCTGGTGGGTTTACCTATCTGGTGGGATAAGGTGGGATCAGGTGGGATGAACTTGAGCCATGGGCAGGTATGGGCAGTGACTCCATTGTGTCACTGTGGCTCTGAAATAAGTGAATAAACAAACAGGGCTCTCCTCCTGTCTTTGCCTTGCAAAAAATAATAAGGGAMAAAGTCTCACACCCTTTGTTAGGATGTCAATGCCAGAGGAAAGACACCAG